GCAAGAATGTTACTCACTCTAATTAAATAAAAACTATAGGAGACTGGAGAGGAGGCTTTAAGGGAAAGAGTACTTGCTTGCATAATAAGGAATGAGGACCTGGATTCAGATCCTGGGACAGTGTAGAGACCCTGCCCCCCACCTACACACATACCTAATAAAACCTTTACTTGCACAAAAGCCCCTGCTGCTTTCCAGTATTTGATGGCCTGAAGCAGTAACCCTTTTCTCCTGGGAACCATGAGCCTTTTCCCTTTTCTCCTTTGTTTCCTGTGAGCCAATTCTTCTCAGACAAGTCAATTGAATAAGTCTGAGACATTGGTGGGACCCCAGCCAATAGGGGAAAGACAGTTGCAGTCAGTAAAAGTATAAACAAATGCACTTCCTGTCTATGTGTGTCTCTGTGTCACTCTTCTAGCACACTATCTTAATCAAGGGTTAAGTTTGGTTCCCTTATTTCTGACACCTGTAACCCTGGCACTGTGGAAGGTGCAGAGAGGAAGATCTTTGAAGTTTACTGGTCACCAGGCTAACTCCAGGTATAGTGAGAGATCCTGTCTCCAAGGAGTTAGGCTTAAAGTGGTGGAGCAAGATATTAGATGTCCTCCTTTGGCTTCTGCAAGTGCAAGTGCCCATACCCAAGCCCACACACATACCCATGCCCACACACATACCCATGTATGTCCATACAAATACATGTACATATACCCATGGCCAAGCAAATACACCACATGTACAAACATATACTCTTTCACACACATACACATAAAACTATAACTAAATTATAGATTATGCAATTCTTTCTTGAAGAGAATTGCAAAAATAGATCATCAAAGTGGAATTTTATTTTACAGCTTATACTAATTCGAGAAGCTATCAAGAGGCACTTGAATTAACATTAAAGATGTAATCAAAATCAGTTCATGTTCCTCTATATCATCAATTTAATAGCAATTTAGATACTCTTGTTATCAAAACAGATCTTATCCCCCCAAAAAAAGATTTACTAGTTTTTCTTGTAAGGATTGCTTTTGTGTTGTTTTTAGCACCTGTCAGAATTTGGTATCTGCTTTTGAAAATGTAATTATGAAATCATTAGCTCTTCAGAAAGATTTCAGGTCCTCATTGTACAACTTTCATTGTCAACTATGGAGATTTTTCTGAGAAATGGATATTAGCATGTTTTGTAATAGTATTGACAAAAAGCAGTGGCCATATATGGCAGGAAAAAAAGCAACGAGTTTTCATGCATGTCAGGAGATTTCTTGTGAGGTTGGATTCGTGAACCACAGACACTAATTTCCACTTATACTGCAGCTATACAGCCATACATTAAAACTTCATCTAGATTTTTCTGTTTTTGTTTTTCTATTTAGTAATACTGAATTTCCTCCAGAAGGAAAAACAAAACAACTTTTGAGCCTTCCAGCAGGTCCTGAAGTATAGAGATAAATTCATTGTTTATACCTCTCTTTAGATGTTTGGGCTATTTTGTAAAACTATTTTGAAACATCACCAAGGACATAAATGTGCTCACGCTTAATGAGAGCTACACACATATGAACCGATAACCATCTCAATTAAACATTTAAACCAAAAAGTATTGCTGGTGGGGCTAGGGAGATAACTGAGTAGATAAAATGCTTGCTGTGGAAGTAAGAAGACCACAAACTGAATCCCCAGAACCAATGTTAAAGCCAAGTGAGTGTGGCAGCCTGCCTGTAATTCCATCTTCAGAAGCCTGAGACAGGATCCCTAGAACAAGATGGCTAGCATGGCAACATTTTCAGTGAGCTCTACACCCGACCTTAGCGATAAGGAGGGAGATATTGAAGAAGTTCCTACCTTCAAGATAGAACCTCTGCACACACTTGCAAATACATGTGTTACCACACATGTGAATACACATATATTCATATCACACTCACATACACACACATATATGTATATATATATACATACATACATATACACAAAAAGGAGAAAAATACTGCTAGCACAAGTGATATTGTTATGTTGTCAAAACTAGAGTGATTAAACACTGTAGGCTGCACCTACACCCACAAAAAATGATTCCAACTTCTCAAAGACATAAATAAATAAATTAAAAACCAAACCATTTTGCAATAGATGGGACTATGAATGTGTGTCATATAAAAAACCACCTGAATCATTATAGGTTTTTTTGCTAGTTACCAAAGAAATACAATCTATTTTCTCCTTTCATCTGGACTTATATTATGACTACATTTTCCTTTAATTAAAATTTAAAAAAGGATACCTTCTTTCCTTTCCTTCCTTTTTTTTTATTTTCTCCAAGATCCGTTAGTGCATTCTTGCTTAATTCTCAAACAGTCCTTAAGTGTCAGGAGGTCCAAATCACAAGCATTTATAATATAAAACGTTCAAAAATAAAAATGAAAGAATCTTCCTTTAACAAGGCTGCATAATGATATGGGTATAAGGATCACATCGATGTATTTTTCAGTAATCTAGATATTTCCACTATTCTAATATAACTTAGATTGTCTATGCTAAAGAAAAACACCTAAGGGAGCAGAAAGACACCGTGGGAAATACTAATGAACTCTATATATGTAGAGATAGCAGGTGATTAGAAAAATAATTTGTTAAGACATCTTCAATGGTGCACTATTGTAATATCTCAGGAGTAACAATCATCTAATTAAATTTAAGTCCTTCTCAGTAGGAGGGAATTCATGTCTGGTACTACAAACCTAGCCAACTACCTGTTGCTGAAGAGGTAGGTCGTAGACCCTAGAGGAGAACCTACTACAGCCACTTTCTTAAATCTCTAACATCTTTCTAACTATCAATCCTTCTATCCTAACTTAAGAGTATGTTCACCTCTTTCCAAAGAAGCTTCTTTTTATAACACATGTAGAGGCCATTACAAAAATCCACAACTGATCAAAATGCAGGAAGCAATTAACTGTGGGGTGCCCATCCTCAATTGATCCATCTACAGCACAACAACTAAGGCTTGTAAATATCATGTAAGAGGAGGCAAAAGGGTTGTCAGAGCCAGAGGACCATGATGTGTCCAGTAAGATAGTCTTTTCCATGTGTTACAGAGAACCTACACCCATGAACTCTCAACGTGCTTTTGCTTAAACGTGATTTGAAAAACAGCATCAACTAACATGCAACATGAATGGGGGAATATTCCAAAGCCCCATCCGAGATGAAGAGCTGTAGGCAACTAATAGTTGCAGGGAGATGGGAGATTCAGTCTTCTCAAGGGAGGAGTCCCCTGATAAGCTATCCAATCCCAAGCAGTCATCCTAAACACATTCCCATATGAATAGCAGTAAGCGGACTCAACAAATTCTCTCTCTCTTTCTCTCTCTCTCTCTCTCTCTCTCTCTCTCTCTCTCTCTCTCTCTTTCTCTCTCTCCTTGTATATAATAACTAAAGGGGACTTCAACCCTTAAGAAGCAGTCACATCCTTCTTTTACTTTATTTTATTTATAAAAGAAAGATAATTATGGAGAAATGTTGGAAACACGTTCATAAATATTCAATAATTAAGAAAAATTGACAGGGAAAGGGAACCAACAGTCACAGAAACAGTTCTGCTCAAGACTGTTTTTCATTTTTAATTAATCAATCAATCAATTCATTAATTAATTAGTTGCCAAGCTTGGTGTGGTACGCAAGCCTTTAATCTGGAATCAGAGGCAGGCAGATCTCTGTGAGTTTGATGCCAGCCTGGGCTACAAAATCAATTCCAGGACATCCAGGGCTCTTACACAGAGAAACCCTGTCCCAAAAAAACAAAACCCCAAAACCTCGAAAAATTATATACATAACACACAAACAAACAAACACACACACACATACATACACATACATTTTCTTAACTCATAAAATCTGGGCTATTTAAGTTTCTAAAGCTTGGAATATGTCTGAAAAAGCAATTTTCTTCAGATTTGGAAACACTGTGTGCACTGTGGTCATTTCCCTGTTAGACCTTACATTTGTCCAATTTTAGTTACTAAAGAACATAAATTCACCATCTAGTATGTTCACATTTTAATTTCAGGTATGATATTCAACAGTAGATAATTAACATTATCTGTTAGAAATTGATAGTACAGTTATCTTTCTCATATATTAAAAGGTTAAACTGAGAGCAAGATGGAGTGTGCTGGACTTTAAGGAGCAGGTGTGCACCAGGGTGTTCATCACACAACCCTAAGGAACATTCCCAAAATACTTTTTTCGCAGATTTAAGATAAAACTATCACAATCTTTTTCAGGAGGCATTATCATGTGTAGTTGCAAAATATAATTTCATAGTGAAAATTTTCTGTTCTTGAACAGAAAATGTCTTGAAAATACACACATTTGGTGGGTTGAGTTGTGCCTTTGCAATTCATGTGTCAATGCGTGAATGTCCAATGTGATGATGTTTAGAGGAAGGGTTGTTATGAGATTATTAGACCTAATTGTGCTCATGAAGCCTGGCCATGATGATGACATTAGCGACCTTAAAACAGGGACACTTCACTGAGCTGAACTCAAGAAAGCCAGTAACAGAGAGGGAGGACTGATGATCAAAGGGATTAAGACTGGGCTGGTCTAACCCCCAGAAACAGCTGACCAGACAAAGGTTAACTCTTGAATCCCAGGCATTAGCCTGGGAAGCCAGCATGGGACTGATCAAGACCCCCTGAATCTGGGTGTAAGTGAAGAGGCCTAAGGATTCTATTGAGCCTTGGGCAGCAGATCAGTACCCATCCCAAGTATACACACGGACTTTGGACTCCAATAGAACAATGTGAGGTGCACTCTCACCCTGAACTCTTGGGAAAGGGTCTAGGCCCTGCCCTATATGAAATGACACACTATGGACACCCCCATGGAGGGCCTCACCCTCCCTGGAGAAATGAGGGGATAACGGGGGGCGGGGGGGAGGGCACGGGAGGAAGGGAGGGAATGGGAGAGGGACCTGGAACTGACTTGTGAAGCAACCTTGATTCTTATCTAAATCTAAACTGGAAAATAAAAAAAAAAAAACACACATTAAAAAAAAAAAACAGGGACACTTCAGAAGTCGCACAAACTCGCACACTCTTTTCAGCCATGATCTTATAAAGTAGCATCCACTTGTAGTGACAGAAGCAGGCTCATGAGGAAAAGAAGGGGTCTCAGAATGACACCCACCTTGCTTAACCTTAATCTTGGGATTGCAACACATAGAACTTACAGGAAATGAATGTATACTGTTTAAGCCACAGATGTTTGATATTTTTAAATCTAGACTTATAACAAGATGAAATAGATAATGATAAGGAGTGGGATGATGCTATGACACATACCTCAAAATAAAAGGGGAATATTTGGAATTTGGTGATGGAAGGATTTTGAGTTGTACACTAGAAATGTTATATGTGATAACTAGTGAGGCCTCAAGTGGAATGGACATATTTTTAGGAGTACAAGAAGCCTTGCTGCTGAGTGGTAAAGAGTTTGGCAGGTCTGTGTTCTGGTATTTTGTCATTGGAAAATCTTGGGTAGATACAACTGGATATTTATTTCACTGAGGAAGTTTATAAGCAATGTTTTAGAGCAACAGTGCGGTACTTTCTGTCTGATTATTGGAAAATGTGAGAGGATACAGGTGAACTGAAAGAGGATTTGTTAAGGAAAAAGGGACCACAACATGAAGATTTAGTAAATTCTCAAGTAATGTATATTACTAAAGAGAAGATGAAAATAGAGGCAAAGGAGAAGAGGAAGAAGAAAACAGGCAAATGGAAACATGAGGGAGGAAGGAAAGAAGGAAAAAGAAATGAAAGAAAGGTAAATGCATAGATTTGTGATGAAAACAATGTGTGGAGGAAGTATTTGGTTAAAATTTTTGGCCTATGTGAAGAGATAGACTGTCTAAGCTCAAGGGAATAAAATGGGACAAAGTGAATGAAGGCTGTCAGACACCTTGGATTTGAAACAGTTGTAAACATTCATGACTTTACAGGGAAAAGGAAGTTTTCCCAACTGCAGCTCAGAGACCCTAAGAGGCACACTCAGTGTCACTGTCTGGTTGTTGTTGGAACAAGACCTCCCCCACAGCCTGTAGCTGTGACACAGATGGCAAGCCCACAGAGGTAACTGGGTAATGCTGAGTGTGGGGGGGGGCAGGGTTTGCAGAGAGTGCTGTGGGAGAACTGTGTTCCCATTTTGTTATTTACAATGAGATGGTATTCAGATATAGGTCTTTTTAGGATATTTTAGGTTTAGATGAGATCAGGAAGGCGCTGTCCTCGTGTTTACAAGTGATTTCTCCCTTTTTCTTATACTCCTTTTTCATCATTGTTACCATCTTCTTCCTAGATCCTTCTTCTCCTTCTCTCTCCCTGGCTCTCCCAGAAAATAACAAACTACAGTCTCATAAGACAGCACTCACCAGAACCCAATCATACACTAATGCTCGGACATTGGATATCTAACCTCTAGAATTTAGGAAATATTAATTGTGTCACATGGCTCACCTAGACTGTGATATTTTGTTTTCTCTAACACAGTTACCTGTGTAAAGTCACAGAGTTTGCCATAGGATTTTGGCAAGCCTTGTGAGTCTAATTGTTCAATTGTCTCTCTAAAACAAGGAATATTTTTATAGAATCAGTGAAGAAATTAAAGACCAAATGGTTATCAAGAGTATCTATAGCTTATTGAATTGTTTTATGTATATTATTATGTATTATAGGTAGATAATGCATTGTTACTGATAATTATGTTGCTAAATATACCTATTGGATAGAAAGAAAATCTTAGCCAAGTATAATTTGACTGCTTTCATAATGCTCTGAGATATTTTATATACACTTACACTATTAGTATCAGTGCATGCCTTATTTAAATGTCAATTTCATCCTTAATTCTAGTGTTCTGCTTCTGAAGTCACCAATTACAGTTTCACATTGACGCAGTAGCATGTTTGATCAATTGTTAGATTAGTATTTGACAATAAAAATTATTTTAGGGTAAACTCTGCCCAGCCCACCTGGTAATAGATTGAGAGGAACATGAGCATGTAAATAACAAAGCTAAAAAAGGATGTTACATTTGATTTTACAAAGCAGCAGTCTAAGAGAAGCAGGAGGCAAGTTGAATAGTGCAGTCACTGAAAATCAAACCCAATTGAGATCAGTTTCAGACTAAAGGTGGTAACTGCAAGAAACCTTGACAATGGGGTCTTCCACAACAACAAAATTCAAATTAAGTAGAGAAAGTTATAGAAATGCTGAATGAATTCCCTGAGTTACTCCCCGATTTTGATATCCTTCAACTACCAACACCTCATCTGTGCTTCAAAAATATACCACATCTCCTTCTTAGCATTTGCAATTTTATTTTGAAATTTTTTTCCTGTAGCTGATTAAAAAATTGTTTAGTTGAGAAATACTCTCTCTCAACTCCAGTCCCAGATGAAAAAGGCTGAGCTATGCCATACTGTCCATTATCCCTGTTTTGCTTTCATTAATACAATACAAAATACATGTCTAGCATTGCTCCTTGCTGTGTTTTAATTTCCTGTTAATGTATTTGTCTTCTGAACTAGACTGGGAGATCACTGAGGATGGAGATTCATCACTGTCTTGTTTAGCACATAAAAAATAGCTACTTTAGCACATAGTAGGGCTACTTTAGCACTTTTTAATATGTGTGAATAAAAATCATTATTTCATCATATCTGTGAGTCAGTTGTCCGCTTGAGTTGGTACGAGAGACAAGAAGAGAAAATAAAATAGAAAGCTGTGAAATAGGGGGAACTCATTGTTGGGGTAAGCTAATTCCATAAGAAAATCTTGGAGAGACCCCTAAACTTTGTGGGGTGATAACGTTCACCAATACACAAGCACAGCTGAGCTGTATGACAATAATAAACTGGGAAAACATGGAGTTAAGACATATATGGAACAACTATGCATCAAGCAGATTTGGTTACCTGATATGGGACAGAAGAACTGGGAGTCAAGAAAGGGATGGAGAGGTGATATACATACAGCAATCACTCACACTAAAACTCTTTCTGACTGCCAGTCATAGTGTCATCGTATGCTAGAATACTTAAAATCAGTTATGTGAAGCAACTCTGATTGCTCCTATTTTATAAACTAGAAACCAATGCACAGATCTTTGCACGGTTTATGCCAGGCCATGTGATTCCCAAAGAAGTTTGAATTCAGGATTAGACAGTACAGTTGTAAATCCATATTTAATGTCAGCCCAGGAAAGAAATCGGACTCTTCAGTTTTTGCCATTGATATTCTGTGTGACTTTGATTCTGTTAGTCAGCCCTTCTGTGCCATTGAACTCCTCATTTGCATAATGAGGACATCGTTGACACCGATCTCAAAATTGTGTTTGATGTGAGTAACACTCAAAATCCTGATTTTAATTAAACCATGGAGGAAAATATTTCTTGAGTAAATGTGGGGAAATAAAATGGGAAAAGATTTCTTGAGTAAATGTGGGGAATAAACGGGATGGAAGATGTTTTGTGGTTAAAGAACTTACTACCAGTGCACAAGTGTGAGGATCTGAGTTCTTATCCTCAGAATTCATACAAGCGCTGAGAGCATGCAGGAATTGAAATTTCCCGGAATAGGCTGGCAAGACTAGCTATATCAATAAGTTTCAGTATTGTCTAAGTGACTTAGTCTTGATGATTGAGGTGGAAAAGCAGAGACCAAGAATGATGATAGAAATCAATCTCTTGCTTACACAACATGCCACCTACATGATGAATGCCTGAACACATATGAATGTGCACACACACACAGAAATGTGCATCCACCCCTGCAAGCATGCACACACATAGATGTGTGCTGCAAACACATGAAATGGGAAAATAGCAATACAAAGAAAATAGGAGAATCTATGATCTTTCAAGGGGCAGGGGAGATTCACTGTCAATTGTGAACATTCCCAAGGAGTAAAATGAAGCCTTTAGATGTGGAGTTTTGACCACATCTTGACAACTTGCCCAGTGCAGGGGACAGAATTAAATTATGCTAGGAAAACAGAGTGGAAGTGAAATTGTGAAATGTGAACCCTCATAGGCCATCCAAGATCAGGATTCATCGTAAGCAATGAAATTGAAGACTCTGCTTAGATGTTGGGAGGTAAATCTTGGAGAAGTTTCCTAAGCAAATGAAAGAAGCTTTCTATCTCAGGATGTTGGAGGTGAGATTTAAACCTAGAGACAGATTACAAAAGCTTGTTATCCAATGTTTCTCCTCGTCCTATCCTCATGATTTCTATTGGCTCCAAATTATCAATGCATGTTCACAGGGAGACTCCCTGTCTATGTCACTTTGTCAGGAATACTGGACTAGAGTGGAGATGAAGGGATTTCCCTCAAATGTTTTCCTAAATGTTGAACACCCTCCATTCTGTACAGGTTCCGGTTTTCTGGATTGGTTTTATTGTCATTATTGTTACTGTTTTTAAGGCAGTCTCTTGCCTGTCTCAGGGTGGCCTTGAACTCAATATGAAGCTGAGGCTGAACTCTTTCTTGATCCTCCTGTCTCCACACAGTTAGTACTGGGATTACAAATGTGCACTACCAAGGCTGGTAGTGTGCAGTGATGCAGATCTAAGCCAGGGCCAGGAGCATACATTTCACCACTGAGCTATGGCCTCAGTGTCAGTTTTCTGTGCTAAAGGTAAAAAGAAAAGTCGATTGGTTTCTAAAATATGGATTGAACAGAACGTATTTGCTGTTTGGTTAGAATTAAACTTTCAAAAATTTTTTCTAAGTACGTGTTGCATCTGCCTGTAAAGACAAAGGCAAGTTAAGGGAAACCAGGAACTTAGAAGAGTCTCTTGGGTAAAGGCAATAAGGGCCTTTAAAGCTTAAAGGCCACAAACCTGTAGGGTGCTTGAAGATCTTACCAGGGTCTATGTCTCTAAAGATGATCAATACTGTGAATGATCACATAAGACATATGGAAGATCAATAGCCTCTAAAATTTAAAATAACCTGACTTGGACTTAACTCAGTCCTAATTAAAATTGCAAGTATAAGCAATCAAAATGTGATGGAATACTACTTATATGACTAGATAACACAAAGCCTACACATGCGTCTCGAAAGTTTTCTTTCTGGTCCTGTGACATCTTCATTTAAATATCCTAATCTAATTATGTATAGATTCAAAAGGCTAAATTTCGTGTTAAAATTAGTTTTTTTCTGCATGTATTTTCCATTAGAAGAAGATTTATTAGGTATCAAATTCTCTTGCAGGGGGAATGGTTAAATGATTCGTTTGGGTGGATTTGATTGTTGAGGTAAATATAGTACATGAAAATGAATCTTAAACTAAATTCAAAATTCAAGTTTCCACAGCCTACACTTTACTCTCTAGCTCAAAAGTTAACTTTGGGAGTACTTCAGATTGTCTGTGAACGTTTAAAAATACCATTTACTGAAATCCCACCCGAGGCAATTAAATTGGAGTCTCTGTAGGCGGAGGCTGAGTATTTCTCAGAATCTCCCCAGTGATTCCAGGGAACACATAGACTAAAATCTGTATGTGGGGATGTGACAGGGCCAGGAATGGTGAAATGGTGACCAAAGCTACTTCACTCATTTGTTTCCATGTTCCTCACTCAGCATTATGAAACATTCTAGGGGACACATGTAAATAGCACAATGTCCTCATTCTGTGGATGCTGAGACTGTAGTATGGGGTGAAAGGCCAGGTGAAACTCTGGCTTCAAAAATATAGAATGAGGGAGGATGAGACAACACAATAGGTAATAGCACTTATCTCCAAGTCTGAGGACCTGCGTTTCATGCCCCAAACCCATGGTGGAAAGAGAGAACTGACTCATTCAAGCTGCCTTCTTCTCACCATGTATACACTATAGCACATTACACACAACAATAAATAAAAATAAACAAACTAACACATGTTAACAATTAAAAAATAAGATGTAGAATCCAAAGAAAGTAGACTAAGAAAATATATTTGACTAAATGATTGAAGCGCTAAAACACAATTGAGAACTCTTACTAAAAGTCATTAAGGGTTATGGAACAGAAAGAGTTAGGGTTTTCAAAATGGATGTAAGCAGGTTTAGAGAAAAATTTCACATTTCAGTTTCAAGTTAAAGATTAATGGTAAAAAAATAAAATGAGAATTCAAAGGGGGGAGTAGACACCAAAATAGAGCTGAAGCAAAATCCAGAGTATTTATAAACACAAATCCTATGGTGATATGTCCACGGATCAAGGACTGCTTTAGTATATTTTTAGCAACTGAAGTGAAATACTTGAAGTGACTAATGGCATGGTGATGTTTTTTCCTTTTGTAAGAAATGTTGACTGGCTCATGGTTTAAGAGCATGTTGCAGGCTGTGGGGGAAGGAGAGGGTCCTTCTGCCCATAGCTGTATCATGGCAAATGACAATGGGGCAGCTGAGTGTGGAAGGAAGAATTCGCCCATCACAGGGAAAGCCAAACAGTCTGGGTAGGCCAACTTCAAAACTTTAAAATAACCTACCTTTACAAACTCCTCAGAATCCCTGTAGCAATGCTTGCCTCTCTTAAAAGGGCATGATGGTGTTAGCTCAAGGACCTGCCACTACCCCTTCCGTCTTTCAGTATCTTCCCCTCTCATAGGTCCATGCCGTCTCCCAAAACCTCCAGCCTGGGGAGATGTAAACCAAACTAAGACAGGAGCCTGGCTCTCAGAGGAAAGGTCTGGGAAAGTGTGTGGTGAGAAACATTTGGATATACGGAGTTTGAAGTGCTGGTGTCTAGACATCAAATAGATGTATGTCAGCACGGTGTGAGGTAATGCTTTGGGAAATGCCTGGCTGATATACAAGGAGAGTTTTTTGAGAGTGGAGCTTTATCCTCAAGATGATAAGGAAAGTGGGGGAAAGCTGATTCTTAGGAAAAGTATATGTTCCTGAACAAAGCAGAAGGACAGTTAGAAAGACTTATCAAGGGAGCAGATCAATAATGTCAAAGCTCAAAGGGAGGTTTATAATTGATTCTGAGAGCAGCCCCTGAGTTTGATATCCAAAGAGCTCTTAAGAAACATTTAGAGATAGGAGACCAAACTGAAAGTGCTGGAGGAGTGAACATATGGAGAAGAGATGACTAATATTTAAAGAAACATGAGCTTTAAAAGCAAATGAATAGTCCTGGGCACCCGAGATGGTTCATTGGACAATATCACTTGCTGACAAACCTAAGGGATCTGGGTTCGATTCCTGGAGCCCAAAGGGTGAAAAGGAGGAACCAACTCTTGAAAGTTGTTGTCTGACCTCTGTACAGGATCCTTAACATACACATAAACAAGTGAAGGTAAATAGAAGAAGCATAAAGGATGATTAGAAAAGGATGATGGATGACAAATCACTAGAGCCAGTGTGTCCTTTTTAATTGGGGAAAGAAAATGAATTGCTTCTTTTTTTGCAAAGGAGCTTCTCGGGAGAAAAACTGGGTTTTTGTTTGGTTTGTGTTACATTTGCCTACTTATTTAATCTATTAATGTTAATAATAGATTAATTAATTAATTTTACATGTAAGGAGAAATTGGGTGGGTACTGGAAAATTACCCTTTCTCCTTTTGCTTAGGAGCCCTTAAGTGCCCCCAACTGGTACTGCTTTGCCCATCATAGAACTTCCCTTTGACAGGGGTTACAGGCCAATCACTAGAAAAGCAAGCAAGACTGATGCCATATGTGTCTACTGTAAAGAAGTCATCAAATGAGAAACTGAATTAACTGTTGCATACATGTCAAGAAGATACATCCACAAACATACTACAAACAAAAATGCAAAATGAAAAAATGTATTCAAAATCAACCTTTGATGCAAAACATTCACCTATTCAATGACTACAGTCATGGTCTTAAATAACAGAGACACTAGAGAAAGCAAGGAATATTTAACTACCCAACACAATGGAGAAGACAATCTTTGGTTTTAAAGCATTCAAGTCTCAGGAATGAAGCTCCAATCAATCATGTTGGTGTTGTAGTTTTTCTAAGTGTTCAATGAGCTCTTTTCACATCTGCCCTGGACACAGGAAAGCTTCAGAGGAGGCCCTAAGCCACTTCTAGATATATTTGCATCATGTCAACATTAATCTCTTTTTGTTTGGTAATTTTCATATACTTTTGTCACCCTTCTTACCCCAACCTTCTCTCAGCGACTGAGATTTATTTTATTTTGTTTGTTTGTTATTCAAGTAAATTAGACACGTAGTTCTATTTCAATTTTATGGAAACAACTGCGAGTGTTCATAGCTCTCATTTTCAGTTTCACTTTGTGTACATAAAGATCTCTGTGTGAGGTACAGCTCTGACTTTCAATACTGTCTTAGTACCCCAATCCAAGACTGGAATTAGTCCCATTGTATGTGTTTGTAGCACCACAGTATGCTTGCTTATCGTGCCACAAAATGACCCTGTAAGACTGGCATGCTTTGTCAGCTTCTGGAATAATTAGATCATTGATTTCATCCTATCTGTAAAACAACCACATGGTTGGAAGAATCTTACCACCACCTTGCACTTAGACTCTGTGTCACAGCTGAATGCTGAAATGCCACAAGCTTGCATGGGAGTCACTGTTTCATTATTAACAATATTGTAGCTTTTTAAATTCATAAATTAAAGAATGATATTATTACAAGTAGATTTTTATAAGTAAGGTACTATATGTGTGTGTGTGTCCAAATTTTCTACTTCTCTGTGATAATTCTGTAATCTAATTCAATTAGTATGTCTATATTGCAAATTAATAAAACTGTTGAGGTTATAAAGTTGTTCATTAAGGAAGCAATTCTCTTGCCACTTGGTTTGTTTGTTCTCTACACTAAACTGAGATGCCAGATGGCCACAGTAAGGCATGTTAATATTATTTAAATAGTGGTCTTTATTCCTTGAAATGTTTAAGAAGTTTAAGAAACTTCAATTAACATGCTGCATTGTATTTGGAAGAAATAATTTTTTGAACATTTTATTCCTATAATGTGCTTTTTGTATTCATGACTGAAAATGATATATTGTATATTGTAAAAAGCAATCCTATTTCATCTTCTACATTTATTTAGTTGCTCTGTGTGTGTGTGTGTGTGTGTGTGTGTGTGTGTGTGTGTGTGTAGGTATAAATATGTGGGCCTGTGTGTGCCTCACAGAACACATGTAGAATTCAGAGGAAAATTGTGGCAGTTATTTCTCCCCTTTGACCATTGGTTCCAGGATTCAAACTCAGGTCTTTCGGCTGAGAGTCAAACACCTATCTTTACCTACTGAACTAGCACATTGGTCCAGCAATTCCATTTCTAGTTATTCAGTTTTAATAATCTAATATTGTTTAATAGGTGCTGATAATCTTCTGTAGTTTCCAATTTAATTTTTAGACTTTTAAATTTTATAAGTTTTAAGTTTTTGGCTGTCTTTTTTTTCTCATATTTCTGTATGTATGTGTATATGAATGCACCTGTATACATAAAAGACCTGAATCTATGATTTTCCTTTGAGGATTTATTCTGCCTAAAATAAGGTAGTTCCTCTTCCTCCTTTCCCAATACAGTCTATTATTCTAAATGCTGAATGAATTCAACCTGCAATATGCAGCTTCTCTCAAGAGGATATCATGAAATCCTCTCTCCTGCTTTTGGATATCTTTAACTTTTAATATATTTTAATTAATTTATTAAATATGAACTTCTTGGTAGTGTTTAGAGTACTATACTGCTTAAATATTTTTAATTAATGTTCGCAGTCAACTTAGCTTTAAACCTTGAGAACAGGAAGTCTTCTGAAATAATCTTTGTAAATTTATTATCTAGTTGCTGTTTGAAAACAATAGTAGTAAATACAATACAAATGAGCAATGTGATCTCAAACATATCACATGGGAAATCCATAGTGGATAATAATATTCAAATAAATATAACTATTAAATATAGTTATCATTAAAATGTGGAGTGTATACATTTGATTTTTTCAAGTGTTAGGGACATGATAAATGATAGATGGATGACAGATAATTATCTTAGTGTGTGAATATATGCATGTGACTTGTGTATTTGTCTGTTCCTCACTCTATGTGTGTATGTATGTGGAGGGGGCATGTGTATTACTAAGTATGAGTACCACAGCACAAGACAGCCTCCCGTCTCGATCCTCGTCTTCCACCTTGAGAAAGGTTCTCTGATGTTTTCTGTCTGCCTATGCCATGCTAAGCTGAACCACAAGTTTCCAAGGCATCTTCTGTCCCCATCTCCTATCTGACTAGAGGGATGCTATGAGGATACACCCACACTACTGCATCTGGCATTACACAGGATCTGATGATCCTGCAGCTTGCATGGCAAACACTCTCCTCACTGACTTATGTCTTAACCCCCAAGAATGACTTGGAAAAGAGAAAAATATAATGACTTAATTTTCATTAGCCTATTACTACTTTTTAAAATCCATTCTATTTTGCCTTCTTATTACTGATGATAATATGAGCCAGTGAGTTGCTGTCATTACAACGTCTGCTTTCTGAGGAGGAACCCAGTGCTCAGAGAATTATAATTCTATCATAAAGATTTGATCTGTATATATTAATCAGCTAAAGCGGCAGTCTGAGTCGTCTAACTCTGTGAAATTCTGCTTTCTTACCCACCACTAATCTGTTGGCAATCATTACTGCTTTAAAAAATCAATGTAGATAATTGAGTTATTACAAAAATTTAGGAAACAAGTAAGGCAAAAAAAATGTAATCTCAAATTTGGTTGTTAGATACAGAAACTGCCAAATATTCTTAGCGGAGAGCCGAATGGTTTCTTAAATTACAGCCTTCATTTGTGTTCCTTGCTCTGGGTGGTAATGCACCTGGAGCACTTCCAGTGCCTGGACTACATTCTAAGTATTGTTCAAATCCATCAAGATGTATCTTCTCTGAGACGATCAGAGGCATGCACGCCAACCAAGTTGCCATGTTTACACCCTTACTATCTCTGGCCCCCTACATGGCTGATTGAACTGGGGCCACAGATTGGCTAGTAATCTGGGAACTTGGTAATAATGCTTTAAAACTTGACCTGTGTGTGTTATTGTTGCTGTTTCACCTTTGGATAGATTGAATATATGAAGAAAGGATTTTCTATAGCACACCAAGGCAAGATAGAAGCATCGGACCCTCAGAATGACCTGAGAAAGCTGGGTAGCGTGAGGGCAGAAAGAGGGATATGTGCAGTGGAGCTGAGTCATGTTAATGTGGGATCAGTAAAGATTAAAGAACAGCTGACACTGCAGAGGTACGTAAGCTGCCATCATACTATAATTACCTTGATTCCAATAGCCCTTAGCCCCGGGCATGAACAGCATTTTCTTTGACTGTTGTAAGATATAGACCCTATACTTCTTTCAGGGTACGTATATATCTTGGCTGGCATAAATGGGCCTCTAAATTATTAAGAAACTTAGCTTAACTAAGACTTAGTCCCAGGCTTTTTACATTTTATCAAATAAACTTATTCCAGAACTAACAGATGCCACAGGGGAAGACAAATTACACATTTTGGCAGTGGTATTTTAAATCGAACTGGTCTGAGATAATAGAACAATCTACATGCTTCTAAAATCCTATCTCTTATCTACATCCCTAGTTTTCTGTTTCTTTGTTTCCAACTTCCTCCCCTTGAAGATTGATTATAGGGTTTTCTGTAATTCGTTACAGTTTGTTTTTGCTCAAGGAGACAATCCCTTGAAATTTATACCAAATTATCGCAATAATGGATGCACTCTCATAATTCACCTGTCTTCTGTATAATGAGTGATTTGTGAAACTCTTTAGAACTGAACCTCGGTCTTTAATGGACCAGACATGTGCTTTTAGCTGCACTAACCAGGACACATATCATGTGACAATGGCTTCTGGAATCACCCCAGAAACCAAAGGTGCAAGTAGGAGATTGTGTGTGTTGTGTTTCACAACACAGGATTATCATCTTGATGGCTCTTTGTCTTTTGCAATGTAAGTGTTCCTGTTGTTGTTACCTTGTAGCTACAGTAAAATGAACATTTTATTTAATTTTTTTGTGGGCCAAAATTATCTTTTAGCACAAAAGTCAAAACACTGCTTCTTTTAAAATTCTCCAATTAATTCTGAATTTTAAATGACTGTTAAATTAAACGTTTCCGGTTGGGTGTTAACAATAAGGGGCCTTCGATTGAAAAGAGCTCAGTGTAATCTTATTGAGCCAGTAGGCCATAAGAATAAGAGGAAACGTGTTTGAATCACAGGAGAGCACGGATGCTGGATGGATCTGTAAAATACTCTCTGTTGTGGTATCAGCTGACTGATGGCTGTGATTCTCAGAAGGACTCCAACAATATGCTTTCTAAAAGCTGGAGATTAATGCAACCATGGTGAACCACACAGCGACACTCTGGCAAAGAAAAAGGGTCAGGACTGGCAAGATGTGGCAGGTGTCAAAATAAAAGGTTAGGCTTTGTGCCTGGGGACCCATCTGTCAGATAAAACTATGATAAGGCAATTAATGTATTTGTTTATGTTGCTCATGACACACCACACATTCCATAAAAATGATCAGTTTAAACACTCTCAACTGTTTTCTGGAAAATAGACTGTATGTAACAAGAAAATGCTCAAAATAAAAATAAATGAGGGTTTATTAGCTAAATGGGCAGTTTATACAGCCAAATCAACACAGAGGATTTCTAGTCATCTGTACTAAAGAACTAAAGCTATTAACTATAACCTTTTCAAAAAGTAGAGTTTGCATTAGGGATGCTTGAAGCAGATGTTTATACTGCAAGATAATTGCTATAACAACTTAAAATTTCACCATGCTTTACATTCGTGATGCTAGATTCTAAGTTTGTAATAAAATACAACCCAGAGAATGTATGAGAAAATGAGAATTTCCATCCACAAGCTATGTACCCTGCATTTTCTTCAAATGTTTTGTTCACAACATTGTCATTATTAGGGCTTTCATTTTCACTCTGTGAGTAATTCTGACTCCTCTCATTGTATTTATTATTTATTTAGTTTTCTCACGACATCTGCTTTACAATCTGTTTAAACTAGAATATGTTTAGATTTAATATTCATCAGTGATGTACTTCTTGCAGATAAAAAATTATCATATACTTAGAAATGCCCTATTATTTTACAGGTCAAAAAATATAGAAGAACGTACCTGGAACTGTGAAAGAATTAAGTTTTTTATTTTCCCCCTGCTCAAAATTAAAGTAAAAATTGATTTCCTCATTACTTTTTGCTGTGGAGTTTTAAAAAAGCTCTCAGTTATTGTTTCAATACCTTATTCTTACAATAATATTGCATCTTGAAGAGAAGAGACGGCCTCGTCGACTGCATAATGTACTAAGTAGAATAGTCAAGGCCTTTAATTTCCAAGGAGAAGTCAGATGTGGCTATTCTGCTTTCAAGCTGCACGCTCTCACAGAGTGGTGGTGTTAGCATTCATTGTGACAACAGACAGAGCATTTGAGAAAACAAAGCTCCCGTGTTCAATAGGTTTATTTTCATTTTTTTGAGATAGGATTTACCCCACTATCACTGCTTCCCATCTATTACAAAGGTTTTGGTTAAACTTTAAGGCAATGGTTTTTCTCACCATGACAGCTTTCCAGCCCAAAGCACGTCACAATCTTCTATTTTCTTCCATCTCACATTGAAGCATGGCTTCCATGGAGCAACAGGGACATCAGGGTAGAAGCCAAGACAGAAGGAAAGGTCAGTGGAAACTCAACACACAGACATTATTACACGGTTCTTCCAGAGGTCTGGTGCAAGACTTACAAATTACGTTTGCAGTCCAACTACAACTAACTACTATTTCAAATTGAATTCACTCCTGCCTGTATTTCCTGACTCAGAGCTTTATACTGTTGCTTTAATTTTATTTGAATTTCAGTCTCCTGAATTAGTTCTGTTTCCTATCTCTTTATCTTCATTTGCCTGGATATAGTTGATAATACACTACGGCAAAATGAAATTCTTAGTCACCATGCTATATGACTCTTCAAAATTCTAAGATGTGTAAAATTACCAAGCTGTGATCAGTTAAGCTAACTTGCCACTTTCTCTGTAACATAGAATAAAAGTAATAATCTCCACAGAGAGTCGGGCTCGCACACATTTTTCACAGATCCATTAAAAGACACATCAAACAAAAGGTAAGATGATTTTTAACTTCTTCACAGAAGGGACTGTCCATTGTAAAGGAGCAATTTCACAGCACATATTCTATCTTTACATGGAAAGAAAATAAATGGCAAGGTTCCTTTTATTTTAAAATGATTTAATTTCTACTTTCACTTTTCTGCAGAAGTGTGAAAGAGCAATTTTTCTGGATATCCACTTCAGTCATTTGAAGACATTATGAGGACTCATGTGGGGTCCTTGACCTCTCTTTGCTCTAAGACAGTGCAAACCTGCCTCTGTTTTAATCACAGGTAAGTTTTTAATGAGTTGTTCCCTGAAAGATCAGCTAGATACAGTAAATCAAAAACTGTTTCTCTTACTGCTTTAAACTAAATACATACATTGTTATTTGAGAAAAATATTATTCATTGGTCATCCTTTTAATCCATGATAACAGTAAACAGTGCCTATTTGTATTTTGATTATTTTAACAAATAATTAAAAAATTCTCAGTATAAACTGTGTTGTGTAAAGATAGTATTCAAAATTCAGTTTTGTTTTCTATTCTGAAAAAAATGTTATTTCTTTCAGAAAAATCTACTGCAAATCGACTAGATGTGTCCCACCCAGTTAAAATGTTCCTTTTTCCTTAGCTTCCCATGCTTCTGGATATCATCTGTCTTAAGATCATGTTTCTGGCCAAACATTTGTATTTGTTTTTTTTGTAGTCTATTGTTTTAATGATTTAAAAAATTCATTTGTTCAATATTAGGTAAGTAATATTTATCTTCATTTCCAGATGATGAAACTCTGGTACACTGAGTGTAAATCACTCTTAAAATATGAACCTATTTTATTTTAGCAATACAGATTCTATGTATCTACTTACTGCTCAGATGCTGAGGGACCAGAGGAAGTTGAGAGTTGTGTGACATGTAAAAAAATAAATAAATAAATACGTGAGTATACAGAGAGAATTAGAAAAGGAGGAACCATGAGGTTGACTGAAGAACAAGCACAATGATTTTAAGATGAAGTGAGACAGAAAATATGGGGAAGAGACAACACTAAGTGGCTCAGTTTTATTTCTTATTGCTATGACAAAATACCCTGCTCCAACCTTCTTGGGGGAGAAAGACTGTCTTACAGTTCAGGGTTCAAAGCACAGTCCACCACGGTGGGGGAGTCAGACAGCAGGAACCTGAAGGAGCTGGAAACCTCACCTTTACATTACAAAGAGAGCAATGAGTGCATGGCACACCAGTACTCTGCTAGCTTTTTCAGAGATTACCTGCCTAAGAATGGTACCACCCACAGAGTTTAATTAACTTAATCAAGATAATCCCCCACAGGTGTATCCAGGGGCCAATCTCCCAGGTGATTCAAGATTTTTGTCAAGCTGACAACATGAATCACTACACTATGGAAACTTGCAAAGCCTTATGATAATGATGGAGGGGGGTGAGGAAAGGGAAGTCTTGAGAAACAATGCATACATGGGTGTCTGGACCTTTAGCTTAATGTGAGTAACTAAATAATGTTTCCAGCATGGAATTAATTTTCAAAATGGAATAACAAGGAACCTCTGTCTTCTATTCAAGTTGTTACACTTCATAGCGGGAGTTGTTTAGCATGTGACGAAGACATTATACAGTGACTTGAAAGACGGACTTTGTAGACAACTAGGAGACTGAATCCCTGTCTCATTCTTCCTGTTGTGTGTGTAATCTTGGCAGGAGGCTCAGAGCTACCTCGAACTGTAGCAGAAGAGAGGACTGTATGCATCTCCCTGACATCATGTCCGGTAACATCCCAGTCGAAGACCACACACAGCCAAGATGATTTAGAGGACAATCCTAGATAAGGCAAATCAGGGTTCTAGCTCTGTGTTATTATTTCAGCAGCAAACTGCAGGAGGGCAACAGCATCCCCAACTCTTACAAGTCTTCCTTCTTTATTTTCACTGAAGAAGAAACAAATGGAATGAAAGTACTGTCTGTGTACAAAGCTGCAGAGCTTTCAATAGATGGTATATTTCAGGGTTCCTGTATGTAGCAAACATCAGTATCATAACTCTCATAATTTAATTCAGCATGTTCTACAAAACTGTGAACACTTTTGCAATTCTAATGCACTAGAAAGCATTTCAATTAGTTCATCACATTTCTAAGGGAAGAAGATTTGTAAAAGTCTTTTTACTGGCTTTACAGGTGAGATGCTTTCCTTTAAGTATTATTAGAAGGTTCCAAAGACAATATACAATTACTAATATTTGTCTATTAAATTCATATGTATATATACACATCTAGAATATGTATATATTCTATGTATGTGTGTATATAAGCAAAAATTAGAGACAATAGAGAAATCCTATTTACTGGGTTACTCTCAACTGCTTGCTCAGCTTGCTTTCTTTTATTTAAAATTAATGTATTTCGTAAGTTTCATTTTACATTCCAACCTCAGTTCTCCCTCCCATCTCTCCTCTGGTCCCATTGCTTCTACCCAACCCTCCTATCCCTAAACTCTCTCCAATCCCCTTCCCCCCAGCCCATTCCTTCAAAAGCAAGGGCTCCCCATGATGAGTCAACAAAGCCTAGCACATTGAGTTGGGGCAGGACCAAGCCCCTCTCCCATGCATTTTGGCTGAGCACGGTGTTCCACCATAGGGAATGGGCTCCAACATCAGCTTGCTTTCTTAAGCAACCCAACGTACTCTGTGTGGCATTAGCCACCATGACATGAACTGTCTCACATTCCTCATTCATCAAGAAAACGTTCCCCCTGCACAGCTGTTCCTACAAGCAATCTGATGGACACGACTCCTCAGTTGTCTCTTTTCCCATATGACTCTAGTTTGTGAGATGTTTAAAGAAATTAGCCATCAACACACATGTACACACACACACACACACACACACACACACACATACACACACACACGCTGATTGGCATTTTAAGCGCTCTTCAGAATTAGGGCAAATCTGTGATTTAATTCTTCATCACATTCCTTGGTAAATTAGTATGAGGCCTGGTGCTAGTTGTATGCCCTGCTGTTCAGGGAGTGCTAATAGAATATTGTAAGCCAGAGGCCATTGTATCTATCATGATGACAGGCAGTGTGTACAATGTAAACCGTTAAAGGTAGTGTCTGCAGGATATCAGGAATTTAAGTAAAGATTAAACCACCAGTAAATCAGCCTACTGACTTTCCTAGCTAAAACCTCTTTGGATGCTTCTTTCTACTTCTGCTCTAGGAATGTAGTTTTTACTTAACAAACTTTGTGTGATTGTTTACAAAAGTGAAACTCTCTCTGTGTCTCTCTCCCTGCCCCCCTGTGAAATTTTGCCATATGCTACTCCATACCACACCCCTCGTCCCATCCACCAACTGTCACTTCAATCTGGGCTTTGCCAATTGCCACACTTTGGCCAATATCATTTTAGCCAGCAGGACTAAGGGAGATATTTGTCAAGGCTGCCATATCTGCTGCCCTGAGGAAAGAAGCTTGAGCTACTTTCCTGTGGTGTACAGGAGAGAGATGTCATGTCAGGTAAGGGCCATGGACCAAATACTAGCTACCTGGCAGTTGTTATAATATAATAAGATGACCTGTTCAGTAATATTCACATATCACCCAAAGACTCATGAAAATAGGCAATACAATTGTTTTTAAAACCGGAATTGGCATATAGCTCAAGGAACAAACCCTAAACATCAGCTACTTTTAAAAATGCAGAATCCGGGGTAACACGGACACATACATTTATTTACATGTTTTCTAAGACTGTTTTCACATTGCACAAAAAAGGCACAGTTGAATCATCAGAAACCGCATGGCACAAAGAGCCTAAAAACATAACATTGTTCCTTTTGCAGGGAAAACTTTGTGAACTCTTGCTTTAAGTCTAAGAGGTAAAGTGATTTGTTGGGCAGCGATAAATTATACAGACATTTGCCCAAAGGGAGCATGCCTCATTCCTTATTAAACCAATAAATTCCTCTGCTTGTGAAAAGCTACATATGCATTGGCAGAGCCAATAACCCCTTCTGTGGATGATGCTTATTGTTGAGCTTGCATTTCTAAAGTATGGTTATGCAGATGGCTGGCTGAACACCAGCATCTGCTACTTATTTACCATAGCAATGGAGCTGGCCACAAGGCTATCCTTTCAGGATTGTATTTCTGAGTTCCTACATTTTATGTGACCCCAAGTTTTTATTTCCCTCTCTGAGATAAGAAGGGAAGAGATGCCAGCATTTCTCAGGTTTTCTCCCTTCATTTCTTCCTCTTCCAATTAACAGCAACCAATAGCCACTTGATTCACCATCCTAATAAGTATAATATGCTAGAGAAGGAGGAAGAATTGAATACTCTTTAAATAAATCAAGCCAACGTTTTCACTTTCTATAACTCCATGGAGCAGGAGTTCTAACAACTTGGAATGGTCATGTTGATCTAAAAATAAGAGAGAAATAAAGTTGAGTCTTCTCTAATGTTCCAAGTGGCTGTTGGATATCATGGTTCAGCAGACTGGCTATCTCCTAACTACAGTAACAGCTTTAATAAAAAAGTTTTGGCACTAAATTGATTTATCTGATAAAACATTGGATACTTTATCAAATGACTTTGATAAACTTTGTCCCAATTTGTTACTTGGCCAGAGGCGAACCATTTACAGTAACCATATTTTTTCTCTTCCTAGATAAAAATATACAACTCCAGACAGATGAAGCAGGAATTTTGAACACTGACCTTTCTAAGTCCTGTTTCTCCCAAGTCAGAGGGCTGCAGTAACTGGAGATTGCCCTAGGCATATGTCATTTTTGTTCCCAGAAATGCTTGTGCACCAACATAATGCCTTAGGTGATGCAATAGGGGTATAATCAAGGTGAGCCTTTGCTATGCAGGCAGCTGAAAAGCACATACGGTGAAATTTTTAGTCAATTAGGGGAAAATTAGGGAAGAATTTAGTCACACTGTGAATCCATAAACAGTGATGGCAGTCAATATGGGTCAATGAGGGCAACTTTTAAGTATGCACATTTGAGCACAGTCACTATTTCTCCAGTGATTGTTTCCCTAAGACTGGGGTAAATCCTATCAACTCATAGATGACACTAACCCAGGTGATTCTGAGAGTGAACTACCTTAGAAAACCAAGTATATAGCAGACTTAACGTCCAGAGGTTAAGACCCTGTTATAGAAATTTTTGAAATCTAAATGCAGCAAATATGTACTAGGGAATAAGAAAGAAAAACAGCCAAAAAATCAACAAACAAAAATCAAATCAGTAAAAACCTTAGTTTAGTTTCCAGATGAAATGCACTAACAAATATTCTTCCCAGAGTAATTTTGTTGAAATTCCCAACCACAACTGTAAAAATAGAAGCTGGCTTGTGGTACTTGGGGACTGCCTACTCATTCCTCGATGCCCTTTTAAGAGTAACTTTTGGTGGAAACTGTATCAGCTGTTCTTGTTACAGACCATCTCAGATTCTGTAATTTCTGGAACAGGACAAGTAGCATAATAGTCTTAGTTATCTAAGTACCTACTTTCCCTGCTGGATTGAATGCCATGTAAGGAAAGAAAAATATATTTTTCTTGATCACCAAAATATTCCCAGGGCTAGTTAAGACAGTATGAAGAGGCCAGACCAATAAAAAATACTTTCTGAAGAATTAGATCTCAGGAGGGGGATGAGTGGGGGGGGGCAACGATTGAATTTTACCAGCATCTGAAATGGGCATGAATGTGATGAGCCCTTTGCAAAATGACCTCATAACAAGCAGAGCAGATAATGACTTAAGCAACAATGAGCAAGAGGTGTTTTCAAAGACAGTATTGGGCTATGCCCATTGTGGTTATTATTGTCAGAAGATACATGAGGGAAATGTAGATTTTGGTGCTGGGTCAAGGACAGGCAAGGAAAATTCAGTTCAGACCAGTCGCCTTATAAGGACATACTTAGTTTTGGGAGAGGAAATTGGAATCCACTTTGGTTTTCTATGCCACAATATAGTTACTATGGTTATTCTTCTTTGCTAGTAAATTTCCTTTTAGATAGCTTTCAGAATGTGTATTCATGTACAAGAGAGCTGGTGTTCAGATACCCTCCTTCTCAAGGCAGTAATCTTCCCAGGTACTAGAGTTGGAAACAGAACAAATAAAAATAGCCAACTTAGAATGGAACCCATTTCTCCATGATTACGTTGAAGTTTTAAGTTAAAATGCATTATTGGGGTGCTGAAGCACTCCAGAAGTGAGGAAAACCAACCAAAGCAAAGATAAGAACACAATACACCAGAAAGAAACTAAAGGAAACCTAAGAGAAAACTGTGACTTGTGCTCTGCCACAAAGGAACACATCTGTGTCATTCTGCAACATCAGAACTTTTTGAATAACAATAAATTCATAAGGTTTAGTAGTTTTAAGGACAGTAATTTGTTAGATAATCCTACTACCTTGGTAATCTGCCTAATGCCAATAAAGGCTCTCTTATTTGCACCTTAATTGGTAATGATGAATCTTTTTTTTTCAAGGCAGGGTTTCTCTGTATTGTTTTGGAGGCTGGCCTGGAACTAATGATGAATCTTATATCATGCATTACTCAGCACACAGTGAGTGTGCTAATATTTCTATAGACATATGTGTGGTTTACAGAATGAATATAAGCTAAAGAAGCTGCATCAGCATTCAACAGGTCCTAGAAGTAGGCTGATGGCAATGTTAATAGAGGCTGTAGTGATAAAATAACTAAGAATTCATGCCAGGGTAACAGACGATAGATTGTTGTGAGGGCCTGCCATTTCATGGGGTTCATGTGAAGGAAATACAGCTTTTCTTTGGTCTAAAGAGTCTTATCAGTTTTTGCGTCTAGTTTTCCTGTGATAATTTTAAAATACCCATGTGCCCTAAAAGACTCAGTTCATCCCAATAAACTTCAAAGGCAGCACCCTTTTTATTACAAGGAATAGGTTATCTATCATTTGGAACTAGATGGGTGGCACCCAACAAATATTGTGGGTTATGGGTACACCCAAGGGTCTCAGTTGTCTGCCTTTAAAATGGAGTAAACAACTGTTTGTAAAATAGAATCTCCTGCATCATGACACAGTCTGAAAACCCCCTGTTTTATCCAATATGAAGTAACTAAGAGTGGGGGCAAAACCTGATCTCAACAAAACCAAAATGGGTAAGAGCCAAGCTGACTGGGAAAAAAATCACTTAACCTCTCTCTACCTGGATATCATTAGTATAATTAGGATGAAATAATTTATAAGGTTGCTATTAACGTTAAAATTTTCATGAGCAGTGAGGCTTTAGGAACATGATGTATTCAGCAGAAAACACAACTGTTTTTCAATATTCCTTTTACATATAATGGAAGCAAGTTAAAATAATAGGTTTCACAAAGCCATTAAATATTTACTGGTCACTCTTTTGATGACCATTTTGATTCATTACATAGTGTATATAAATCATTGATATTTTCAAATTACAAACAGCTCAGGAAGGAACTTTGCAGCTCCTGCCATGGCCTTGAATTAAAATATGAATTACCTCCTCTGTGGGGGTGTGCTTAAGCTTATCATTTGTTAAGAGCACTAAGAATCTAAGCAAGATACTGCATATGTATGATAAGTGCAAGTTATTGTATATGTATGATAGGTTTATTATAATAATCTTCCTTGAATTGCAAATTATGTCACATGTTCATTTTACCTTTTCTGGGAGTCTCCCTATTTATTTTTAAAACATGGGTATCCAGTAACAACCAAATTCAAACAGAGATGTTCTCTATGTCTCATGACATACCATTAGTGAAAGTAAAATATGTTATTTCTCTAGAGAGAAATATAATTAAAGATAAAGGGAGATTTGGATGTCACTTATTTATAAATACCACAACACTATTTTATGGTTCTGTACATTATTCTTTTTTAACTTAGTTATATGTCCCTACTACTGCATTTTCTTTTTCCTAAAGTGTCATTGCTTATTTTTCTATCTACTGGGGTATAACCTTCAGATTTTGCAATTTCTCCAAATGCTCCTAGAATAGTTGTCAGTACCAGGTGTTACAGAGCCAAGGATTATTCATTGATAAAAGTCTTTCAATGTTCCTTCCTACACTCCCTTCCCAAACTTGTTCTCAAACCCTGCCACAGACCCTTGCCTTCCTAAGATCACCATTACCTACCCTAATTCATTCCCACCCCCTCTTTCTCATGCAAATGAACATGCCCAGGCCTCCTGCCTTGAAATGCCAGACAACTTCCGGGAAGCTTTTTTTCCAAATTCTTTCTCTTTCTTTTTTTTTCTTCTCCTCCTTTTTTTTTTTAAACTATGTCTGTTTTTGAAATTCAGAAAATGTGGCAGTCAGGTAATAAGTAAATCTGTCAGGGTCCCCAAACTGATACATGACAAATGAAGTCAGGACCTGTTTGGAAGCAGCTAATAATGATTGTGTTATGTCTTAGGGCTTGTGTACATTTGAAATGCAGATGGTGTATAGAATACAGCTGAATGTGGTATTAAAACAAGTTGCTCACCATCCATTAATTCTCTATGTCTGCCAATTATATTAGAGCTCTGGTCACAAACTATACAAGTAGCTTTCATGGGTGGGTGTATATATATATATATATAGCATTCCTAGGCACTGAGAATACCTATCACTACATTCACCAGATGTTGAAAATTACCTCTGCACTGCTGAACACAATCTTTAAACAATATTAGCATTCTAATTTATTCAATTTAAGACAGAGTTCCTAGTATGCATAAAACCACCATAATTTGTTGCATGAAATAAGTAAACTAGTTCTGATTTTAGTTTCTGAGACAACTCCATACTGATTTCCATTGTAGCTGGACTAATTGCATTACAACACCTTTTCCCCCATTTCTATTTATGTTTTTATTTATGTTTGTATATATGTTTATGTGAATACATGCCACATTCTGCAGGTGCTTTGGGATGCCAGAAGAGGGTGTCAGATCACCTGGAGCATGAGTTATATGTGGATGTGAGCAGCCCAATTTTGTAATCCACCAGACCAGCAGCTGGGAAGAACTCTTCATTTTCTGTCCTGGGAAATAATAGCTTACAAATACAGTCCCTCTTAGAAGCAAAAAGAACTTTACATTTTTTAACTATTTATAATTATGCACTATTTATTGTTTTGTCTGACTTACAAAATATATATCTTTGATTATTATCCATATTGGTGAAGATAAGAAAAGTTTATTTTCAGAACTTACAGTATTAAATTTCATCATTAACTTTCTGCAATTGACTCGTTCCTTCTACTATCTCTGAAAATTTGCTCTTGCCCTGCCCCCCAGCTTTTAGTTAAAGCAAATACTATTTTTATAACAATAAATACATGTGTGTATACATGCATATGAGTACATGTATTGATCCTGCTTAATATGTACTGAGTGTAATTGTTCCTGTGTTGCTTTAATATGCCTGTTGAGCTTTTCTCTAAACCCTTGTCCAGTTTGTATCTGTTCGCACTGGGCTGGGTTCAACTGAACTCAGCCTCACCAATACTGGAGTTGTCTGGTGTCTCTTTACTCTACTCAAGTAGGTTAGTAGAGGCCTCAATCTGTTTCTGACTTACATTAAACTGGTGAACGAAGTAACTGGGGGAATTTATCACAGCCATTGGTCTTTTGGACATGCACATTTCTCAACAGACCATTGAAGTCCTTTCCCAAGTTTTCTACGGGACTGTATCATTTTTTATATTGACTTGAAATTTTCTTAACATAGTCTAGATGAATTTGGATGCTATCGATTTATGTATATACATATGTCATTTACTAATATGTTTTGATTTTAATTCTATGATATTTTATTCACCAAATACTCTTTAATTTTTTATTTTATTCATTGCTATTTTATATTTCTGTGATGTGTGTGTGGATTGTTGTGCAAGCCAGACCACATGTGTGTAGGTTAGGACAATATTCAGGAGTTAATTCATTGACTGTACATCCCGGAGATTGAACTTAGCTTGTCAGGCTTATGCAGCAATCACTGATTTCCACTGAGCCATTTTCACAGCCAAAAATTCTTCAAATTAGCATAGTAAAGCTTACTAACTGAACTTCAATGCTGCTCAATTTATCATTTTCTCCTTAATGTAATGTTAATGATATGTACTGACTAATAAATAAGTGACACTTTTCAAAATATTTAACTTTCTTATTGATTTTTATTATTTTACAGCCTTGGAATTTTAATTGTGTGTGTGTGTGTGTGTCTGTGTGTCTGTGTGTCTGTGTGTCTGTGTGTCTGTGTGTGTATTCAATGGGGCCAATACCTTGCATTCCCATAGGCTGTGGCACCTCCCTAGCTATTTGACCACATGAATGTAGGATGTTATTGAGTTCACCCTGGTTCCTTTGGTATATTGCATTGTCAAAGATATACTGTTTTAATGATCATATCTTGATAATAACTGATAAAGTTATTCTTCTATAAGACTCTTAACTATTCCTTAAAAACATTTGAAATTACATTCATTTATTGTGTGTCAAGAGCATTTGCGTCACAGTACATCTAAAGAGAACATTAGGACAACATGTGGCAGGACATGGGTCCTGGAAAATCAAATCTATGTCCACAACCATGATAACAAGTGCCTCTTCCTACTGAGTCATTTTGCTGCCCTTATGCTCCTGACTGTTCTTAAACCTCTGCAATTATATTTTAATGTACTGGTCAATTTTCAAATGAAGATTTCATCTGCTCTCTGAATACTAATAAGTTTTATGATTGGTTCTTGAGCTTTTTAATTTGTTCATGTGACAAATTTTCTTTTTTATTCCTTTTGATGTTAATGTTGGCTATTTGTATTCTTTTATTGCTAAAACCCTGTTATAACTCACAGACTAAAACTTATCCATTTTAATGACTGTTTTATTAATTTGCTAATATTTTGGTCAGTACACTTCCATCTGGATTCATGAAAGTGGTTCATTTGTGATTTTAATTTTTTTGTAATATTTTTGCCAGATTTTACATAAACCAGCTATTGAATAGAAATTGTTTCCTCTAATTATTTTCATCATTTTCTCATGGGATTTGTGTACAAATGCTGTCATTTGTTCCTAAGTACTTAAAAAAGCTTCTTGATGGATTCAGATGAAATATTGTTTCCCTATGAAAATTTTATATATATTTGATTTTTAAATTTAAATTTAAATTAGAAACAAGGTTGCTTCACATATCAATTCCAGGTCCCTCTCCCTTTCCCTCCCCTCCTCCCTTGCCCTCCCACCAATCCCCCCAATATCCCCTCATTTCCCCAGGGAGGGTGAAGCCCTCCATGGGGGTGTCCATAGTCTGTCATTTCATCCAGTGCAGGGCCTAGATCCTCCCCCAAGATTCCAGGGTGAGATTGCATCTCTCATTGTTGGATGGGAGTCCAAAGTCCATTTGTATACCCGAGATAAATACTGATCTACTACCCAAGGCTCAATAGATTACCTAGGCCTCCTCACTGACACCCACATTCAGGGTGTCTTGATCAGTTCCATGCTGGATTCCCAGGCATCAGTCTGGGATTCAAGAGCTAACCCCTGTCAGGTCAGCTGTTTCTGGGGGTTAAACTAGCCCAGTCTTAACCCCTTTAGTCATCAGTTCTCCCTCTCTGTCATTGGATTTCTTGAGTTCAGTTTAGTGCTTAGCTGTGGGAGTCTGTCTCTGCTTCCATCAGCCACTGAATGAAGATTCTGTTTCCCAGACTCTCTGGCCATAGGATTGTAGGCTGGGACTCCCCAGATCTATGTCTAAAATCCATATATGAGGGAGTACATGCCATATTTCTCTTTTTGTGACTGGGTTATCTCATTCAGGATGGTTTCTTCTAGTGCTGTTCATTTGCCTGCAAAGTTCAGGATTCCATTGTTTTTTTCTGCTTGTGTAAATGTACCACATTTTCTCTATCTACTCTTCAGTTGAGGGGCATCTAGGTTGCTTCCAAGTTCTGGCTATTACAAATAATGCTGCTATGAATATAGTGGAACAGACATCCTTGTTGTATGAATGGTCATCTTTTGGATATACCCCTAAGAGTGGAGATGCTGGGTCTTGTGGTAGGTTTATTCCCATTTTTCTGAGGAATCTACCTACTGATTTCCAAAGTGGCTGTACAAGGTGGTCCTCCCACCAGCAATGGAGGAGTGTTCCCCTTTCACCACAACCTCTCCAGCATAAATTGTCATTGGTGTTTTTGATTTTAGCCATTCTGACAGGAGTAAGATGGTATCTCATAGTTGTTTTGATTTGCATTTCCCGGATGGCTAAAGATGTTGAGCACTTTCTCAAAGTGTCTCTCAGCCATTTTAGACTCCTCTATTGAGAATTCTCTATTTAGTTCTGTAGCCCACTTTTTAATTGGATCCTTTGGTGTTTTGGAGACTTGCTTTTTCAGTTCTTTGTAAATTTTGGAGATCAGCCCTCTGTTAGATGTGGGATTAGTGAATATGTTTTCCCATTCTGTGGGCTGCCTTTTTGTCTTGCTGACTATGTTCTTTGCCTTACAGAATCTTCTCAGTAATAAATGGGAGGTCCCATTTATTAATTGTTGATCTCACTGTCTGTGCTAGTGGTGTTATGTTCAGGAAGCTGTCTCCTGTACAAATTCGTTCAAGGGTACCACCCACTTTCTCTTCTAAGAGGTTCAGTGTGGCTGGATTTATATTGAGGTCTTTGATCCATTTGGACTAATTTTTGTTTTACTTTTTTATTATTTTTGTTTTTGTTTTTCAAGACAGGGTTTCTGTGCAGCTTTGGAGCCTGTCCTGGAACTTGTTCTGTAGACCAGTACTCAAACTCATAGAGGTCCACCTGCCTCTGCATCCCAAGTGCTGGTATTAAAGGCATGTGCCACCACTGCCTGGCAAAAACTTTTTAAAAATTAACTTATTTTTAAAGCAGATATAACATTCTTCAAATATCTATATGTATTTTTGAAGGTTTTATATCATTCATTTTACTTTATTTATTAAGGATATTTATATGAAGCCATTTAATATATCTTTTATTTTTATTTATCAGTAGAACTAATAATGATGTCCTTATTTGTGTTTCTTATATTGATAAATGGTTTTTATTTTATTTATTTGATTAAACCTGTAAGTAGTTGCAATACTATTATCCAAAATGAGAACTTTGTGTATTGTTCCATGTTTATATAATATATGTGCTTTGTATTTCACTGACTTTTGCCCTTTTTTGTGTGTCAATCTATTTTGTTTGAGTATTTAATGTGCTGTATATTTTCCCAGGAGAATTCTTGAGATGGAAGCTTAGATGTTGATTATCCACCACCTTCTTCTCTAACATGACAATTTAAAGCTCTCTAAAGAACATGACTTTCTTTTCTTTTGTTGTTTTAATCATGAAACTATTGGTTAGTGTCTGGGGCACTCTTATTAACTAGCTCTGACTTAATTTCTGGCCCATAACTACTAATCCACGTGGTCTATCTTATTGGAGAAAGGTCCCGGGGCCTCTTACTCTTCTGGTGTCCTACATCTTGACTACCTGTGCCTACATCTCCCAGAATCCTCTTTGCATGACTTTATTTCCATTCAATTTTTTTATATGCTGTATTTGTGCTTCATACATAGGCCATCTAACCTTCACTGACCATTTTCTCATGTTATGGGAGAGTAAATGGCCTAATTTTCAGAAGTTGGAAATTTCTAGTTATTTATCTTATTATTTTTAAATTTAAATCTGTAGTAGTTAGAAGCCTAGTCTCTGTATTACATTTTTGAATCTGTTAAGACTCATTTTTGCAGTATGGGCTCCTTGTCAATCAATCTAAAGATTACATTATCTAATCAGGTTTGTATGCCAACATATGCCAGTGAGTCACTGGTTATGTTGTTTAAATCCTGCATATTCTTAGAGTTTCTTGCCTTGTTCATTTTTTTCTATCACCCTTCAATAGTAATTAGTTGAATTTTCTGCAATATGTTTAGAATTATTTGTTTTTTTCTGTTATTCTTTACCTACCATTTATCTGTATTTTTAACTATGTATTATCTCTAGTCTACCTGTTTATGTTATCTAATTATTTACCTATATTCTATTTACCATTGGTTTATACCTCTATCATCTATCATTCTAGCATAGATATTACGAGTTATTGTATAAAAACACTCTTTTGAACTTATATGCTGCTGTTGGTTTGATCTTTTACTAACATGAAATATGGTTACAGAAGTTTACTAGTTTTAGAACACAACTCTTTTATCAAATAACTTTTTTAACATGTTAACATTGATTTCCATATATATATGGATACATATGTATATACGTATATATATATCTGTGCACACACACACACATACACACTAATATGTGTAATGTATATAATGATTGTAAAAAGGAAAAAGTCCTGTATAAAGCAAATGGTATATAGAATACACTAGAAAAGTAGCAACATTCGCCTTTCTTTTGTAGTTTCTTTGTTAATATTGTTTTTAAGAAAAGATAGTGTCCTAAATAATCTAAGAGTCAATATGCAGCTCAGCATGGCCTTGACCGCCTGATTTTCCTGTATCAGCCTTCAGAATGATGAAATATACCAGCATGCCCAGCAATTCTCTACTCCGCTTCCAAGACTGTTTTAGGTTGATTTTGCTTTTGTTACTATAATAAATTAACATATGACAGGTGCCTATTATGGGTTGGGCTCCTGTACCTTCTAAATAGTGAGGGTTCCGATTCAAGGGAAGTACTCTGACAGTCACTGCTGGCTTCTTGTGTAAGCACAGGATTACTTTTCTTATTGTGGTTATATCCCCATTCGTACATAATGCCAAGAATTAGAATCTAGTTTATCTCTTTGAATGATCTTTTGGAGAGCTAGTCTTTAAATTTATTATTCACCTGTTCTCTCATTTGTAAATTATTGGTCTCCAATTGTATCATTATTAACTCATTCCTGCCATTTTATGCTCATACAAAAATTATTCCTATATTTTTACTGGAATGATTAATCTATTTTCATTTTTCCTTGTTTAACATGAAAAAAGTTAAAACAACATATTTTCTTCTTAGTACTGGTCTGGCAGAATATAAGTTCTGTGAATATAAATTTGATTTTTAACCTTGACATAAGTTAGGAGAATCCTAAGTTTGACCACAGCTCCAATATTGCTACAATCTTCTGATA